AACAGTCGGATCGAATATGACCGAATATCTGGACGGAGATTAAGCGAATTGTTTATTAAATATTTGGTTTGTTTCCACCCCTAACCATCATATACTGCTTTGAATTATTCCTCAACGCAAGCCTCAAATTAATCTGAATAATCATCAATGTAGACGAATGTATAAGCGTCAGATCACAAAACTTTTGGTAACATAAATTTTAAATTTTAAGAGTATAATAATCAAATCAAATGTATTAAAACTTAGAGAGACGCAAATTTAAAATACAATGATAAAAAAATAAACGGCCGTGCTTTGCACGGGGTCCATACTAGTGATTGATTTATGAGTAAATATTAGGGGAGAAATTTTTAAAACCATCCGGTTTTGAAAATTATTCCCAAAAAAAGAACATTTTCAACCTTAATTATAAAAACAGACCTAGTTGGATGAAACTGAGTCTATTTTTGAAAAAAAAAATTCAAACTTCACGGGAGTTGAACTCCCGTGAAGTTTTTTCTCATAACAAAACTTCACGGGAGTTCAACTCCCGTGAAGTTTGAATTTTTTTTTCCAAAAACCGACCCAGTTTTAACCAACAGAGTCGGTTTTTAAAATTAAAGTTGAAATAAGTCGTTTTTTATAAATAAATTTTAAAAGGGGATGGTTTTGAAAATTTGTCCAAATATTAGGAGCATCAGTAGAGGATCCGCAACCGTTCTGAGGGGATCCGTACTCGGAACCATATTTGCTATATCCACTCCCAAATAGTAATTTTGGGAGTGAGATTGCCGAAAATGCCCTTTGATGTTGAGAATGTTTCTGGAATGGACTTGGCCTGTTTTCATTTGAGAGAAGGGCACTTTAGTCCTCACACACCCCCAAAGTTACTGTTTGGGAGTGTCTATAGTTGGACCCACTCGGAACGGACGAAGCAGCCCGTGAAGTGCCAAGCGTGGCGAGCAAGTGCATTGGAGGAATGCGGAGAAGCCACAAACCTCGAAATCACATCTCTGCCCTCTGCCCCTCTCCCCTCCACCCACCG